CTTGGCTTTTCGACATGTGATGTTGAGATTTTTTTCAAAAAGGTTTTTTTGAAGTGTGTAGTAGTTCTTTAATTGAGGGTTTTGTGTTGCTACCCAATTGTGAGTCTTGCCAATGGATCTTAATTTGTGGAACTGTTAAAAGTATAGTTTTAAGTTATTTAGTTACAAAAATAATAGGATTAGAGAGTCATTTTGAATATTTAGGTATTTATTAGAATTTAGAAATGTTTATCGGATACAAGAGTCTTATTAGAAAAAAAGTTGTTAAAATAGAATCTTAGTAAGTTTTGGAGGCAATTATCTTAGTTAGTTTAGTATTTTTGCTTATTAAGTATTAATATTTAATTGTTGAGACCAATGTCTACATTGGCTTTTTATCTACATGTATTATTTATAAAAAGAAAACCATAAATATTGATTAATAATTAAAAGAAGTATGACAAAGACCCTCATGTCTTTTCAATTATTTATATAAAAAATATGCTTTATAGTTGATTTAAATTGATTTTTTTGCTATAAAAATTTATCAAGATAAAAAAAATATAGCCTTGAATTGATATTAGTATTATATAAATATTTTAAGAATTTTAAGAACTATTTAAAATTTATTTAGAACTATTTAGGAATTTTTAGAAAAAATTTTAAGACTTTAATAAAAATGAGTTTTGCTACCTTAGGAGCTATTATGAAGAAATGGAGTAAGATTTTAAGATTATATATATAGTTTTTTGGCTAATTAATTTTTTTAAAAAACCATAATAAAGTAAAAAAAATATAAAAATATTATTCTTAATAATAGAAAATATGATGACTAATAGCAAGTCTAGTTCTGATAAGAAGGAATGTATAGAAGTCTCATATGGATTATAGTACGTTGGATGTCAGTAGGAAGATAAGACTAAGGTCTTGTGGCCTCTTTAAGACATCCTTATATACTAATTGTGAGCCTTGAAGAGGCTCAAACCTTTGATCAATTAAGATGATTATCTTTGAGGTAAAATTTATTTATTGAAAATTGAAAATATTTATTTTTTATCTTTAAACCTTCATAACTTATTTCATAACTTTTAAACATAGTAATTTAAATTTATATATTTTTATATCATTAAAAAAGTAATAAAATTATCCTTCTAAAAATATAACTTTTCATTTTATTTCTTATTAGACAAAAATCCAATGAATAGATAATGACTACGTTTTGTAGTATGCAATTGTTTGATTGTGCTTATTTTACTTGTTTCATATTGTTCTTATTTATTTCTTGTTTATTGCTTCTTTTACATCATACCACCAATTAGAAGAAACTCTTAATTAAAATTATCTTGTAATTTGGGATGAAAGGTGAATTTTATCCTTGTACTAATTATTCTTCTTTCACACATATATATTAGCAGATATCCTTGTCATTAGGTATTGAAAAGCTATAAAAAGATTTGATGTATTGATAATAAATTAAAGAGTTTTTTGCAAGGTTTTTTTGCTCGTTAGCAATTTTTTTGATTTTGGTCAATGAAAAAGATTTTTTATGTCTTTATTTTATATTTAAGTTTTTTTATTGTATAGGTGTATATAAGAGAGTTGAATTGTCTTAATTTGTTATGGCTCTTAGTTCAAGAGTGGATCTTTGACTATGTGGCAACTTTAGTATATGAATTACTACACTTTCTTCTACTTCAAAAGATCAAGTATCTATAATTTTTTGTTTTCTTGATGTATCTTATAATAATATTTTTCAATACAACTTTAATATATCTTCAAGAAATACTCTCTCTCTCTCTCTCTCTCTCTCTATAAATCTTATATCGATCAAACCAATTAATTATAGTGCACCAAAGACATGGACTATTTCAAATGATGAAAATCTTATCAATATTATTAAAGTTGTGTTGTAATTAAATTCTACTATATATCACTATTCTATCCAATTAATATTTTCCATTGCTTTATAATAACAAAGACATGTATTGAATATTCCATTTATTATCTTAGTTTGGTTGTTTTCTTCTAATTACTAAGCTATAGTTATAAAGACCTTAAGTCTTAATTTTTTATAATATGTTGTAAAAATATTTTATAAAATTATACAAATTAAATACTTCTTTAATTCTTCCAAAATCTACAAGCAACATTCACTTGTTCAAGAATAAGTATATTATATTACATGTTGTAGTTACAATCTTGATAAAAATAAATATAGTTATCTTGCTAAATTAATCCACTACCTAAATAATTACATTATTTTGTCTATAATTTAATGTTATATCATAAAAGCAGGTATTATATATCTAAAATAATTACTTGAGATTAAAAAAAATATCTCAAATTTTCCTAAGTTACATTTGAATATATTTTTATTTAGAATTATTATGTTATAATTTACATTTTTTCAATTAAAAAACTTTCATAAATTTCTTAGAATCATCTTAAGTCATCTCTATCTTACTACTAGCATATCATATTACTTTAAAATATTTTATTTCTTCTTTTTCTTTTAAGTATTTTATAGATTAATTTTTTATTTAAAAAATAAATAATCTAAAATATATCTTTTTAATAGAAGATACTTCTATCAAGGAACTAGAAACCTCATGGTTTTTTCTTTTTAGTTTTCTTTATGTTCACTCTTGTATACTTCAAGTATTTTTTGAATATATATATTCATAATCCTCTTTATACAGAATAAATCATCACTACATGATATTATCCTTAAAAATAAAGATTTATATAACTTTGTTTATATGTGTTGATTATCCTTTATTTTTTTTATGCATTTTTTTAAATATTTATTATTCTTTATATTCTATTTGAAATAATATTTATTCTTTCATATTTATAAATTAATAATTCTTTTATTAGAAAATATAAAAAAATATCAATGTAATTTTACATAAGATTCCTGTATTTTAGAAAAAAAGCACTTAAAAGAAATACTATTGTTAATTATTTTGATAAATCTCTTCTAAAGGTAATAATTTTAAGTCCTTAGACAATAGTCTAGTTTACATAAATTTTTTCTTATATTTTAGACAAATCAACTGATCGTAATTTTATTTATAATCTTAAATTATATTATAATTCTTTACAAAAAAAAAATAATAATTCAAAACAACTTTTATTGTTTTGTTTTAGAAGGTTTTTATTTTTTCACATTTTAGAATTTAAAGATTCTAGACCAAACTTAGATATATTTTTTAAGTTTTAAAAACGTTTTTATAATACTCATCCAATCTTGTCAACTTTTTTATTTGTTCAAAGATTAGATAAGTATCTTTCTATATAAAGATTCTTTTTTAAAAAAAATCTTACAAAACTTTTATAGTTTTCTATAAGACATGTAAAAGAAGCTTGCATTATTTTGAATTTTTAGGGCCTTCCAATTGTTTATTGTAATGAGATTCTTTAAATTTTGGTTTTGTATTGTTTCTACTTCTATTTTCATATAAATAACACAAACTTTCTTTGGATTCTTTTACAAGAAATATATAATAATTCTAAATTTATATAAATTTATTTTCTCTTAATTCTATTAATACCGTAAACTATAGAATATTTCTAAAACTTAAATTTCCTATACTTAAATCAAACTTCTTAACCAACTGTATTTTTTTATTTGTTCTAATATAATTTTATTGTAAAATATTTTATATTTTTTACTTTTATTAAATATTTTTCATATACAAAGAAGTTATTGGCTTGTATATTAGTCAATATTATTGTCTTTGAGTTGAATTTTAAAATGGACCAACATCTCATAAGATAATTAGTGGTAATTCTTCTGATAAATCTACTATCTTTTTTATTTTTTTAAAAAACCTTGCTAATAAAGTTTTAAATTATTTTGAAGTCACTTTAATAGTTTTAGTTATTCTATTTAATAATTTTTTTTTCTTATTTTTCTAATTTAATAAAAGACATTTACAAGTAATAATAATCTCATAGACCAAATCCTAATCAAATCCTAAATCCTAAACCAAATTTTGATAAAATCCTAACCAAATCTTAAATCCTAAATCAAATTCAAAACAAATCCTAAATAATTAAAAAAAAATCATGAATAAATCTTAATCACTTTCTAAAGCTATTTTAAAATCTCAATTAATATTAGTCAAATTATTGATCTTAACTTAAATTTTATTTATATTTCAATCTAAAAATAATTAACAAGCATATTAAATTTTAAAAAATTCAAATTTACTAATTAAAAGAAAATTCCTCAAAATCTCTAAGATGTTGGCAGTTGTCCTTTTCTAACTTGAATACTGATCTTCCAATAGAATTTTCCTTGTTGAATCTATAAATTACTTCAAAAATTAACTAATGTATAGATTTCTAAGTCTTAATTACTTTCATCAATTTTTACTTCAATTAAAAATTGTTACAAAATTACAAAAATCTTCACTAATCTTAAATTTCTTGAAGTAAAAATTACCTCAAAATATGTAGATGTTACAAAATTGTAAAAATCCTTACTAATTCTAAATTTCAATTCTCGAAGACTATAATCCACAAAAATTGTCATGACTATCAATCTAATCATTAAATTAATATAAAATTTATTAAACACATTCAAGATGAATATAATGATACACTGACAAAATTTTACCCATAAAAATGCTACAATAGTCACAAAATTCAAAAATTTATAAATTCTTTTTATTTCTCAAAATTCAAATCAACTAAATATATCTCTGACTTTGAAGAGTCTTCTAAATCTTAATATATCTTTAAATTATATGAAAGAAATTCTCATTTTTATTTTTATTTTTATTTTTTATAAGTCTGCT